TTAGCTTCTTTATTTTAAAGATTGTGCTCGTAGAACTGATGGTAAATTACTTCAGATTGGATCTTTTTCAATTTTGAAATCTTTGGAAGGCAAAGACTCAACTGACAAGCTTTCATAGGATACCGGATACAGGGATCACAGTGAAAAGATTTCGATGTAAAAGATTTGCTGGTAAACAAAGGAAAGATCTTTCGAACGTTGTCAGATTGATTGTAAAGGGAGCTTTACTCTGCGGAAAAAAAACCCCTTCAAATAGTTATATCTCGACGAATTTGTCACCAAACACATATCAGCAGTTGTAATCTCGCCGTGTCGAATACTGTTTCTTTCAAATTATAAATAAAAAACATTGCATCTTGAGGTTACGATTTAAATTGATTTATTGCCTTTTTAAAATTGATATTGCACACTCAGTTCATACCTATTCTAAGTTGTACAATATTGTGTTGAGAAGATTTGGAACTAGAATCTCTTACTGCCGCATTGTATTCTCCAAAACTGGAAGAAAATATTGGACAAACCTTCATTTTTCACGCTGCTATGTTAACTTCTCCAAAACAACACTACCAAGGCTGTTAATGAAACAATCAAAAATATTTTTCTGCAATTGCACCTTCAATACAGTATGCCTAACTGAAGGTAACATTAACTATATTGCTATTTACATCTTTACAAGTGGCTATCTTTCTGTACTAGTTTTGTAGCTCTGAGATTCTCAATCTGAGTATTGTTTTTCTAATATATTTACATACCAAGCATGTCGTGAGTAATAAAGGCAATTTATGACACTTGAATTAAGGAGGTAAAGAATCGCGACTTCATATTGGTTGGAAACAACGTAGGGCTTTATTTCACGCTAACAACACGAAATGATATATCGAAATTCACGCTCAGTTTACTCACTTTTGTTTGGTAAAGTTTGTCAGTACAGGTTCTTTGGATGAGAATTTTTTTTACTGTTAGTCTTAGGAGCATAACATGAATTAATTTTTTATCGAAATTTGCTGTCGTGATTTTGTGCCGTGAAACGCTCGTGATGTATTGTTACTAAGGGGATATCGTGATGTTTTTTTCGTGATTCGTGATTTTTGGAGCACCCCTGACCTATAAAAGAACCGCATCTTTCCCTCGGCTCATTCTAGTTCATGCCACAGTCAGCTCTAACGGGAAAAACGCCAAATCAAGTAATCGAAAAAGATATATTTTTGGGTAAGTTGAATGTTATCGTCTACTGAACCATAGGTATTAAGACTAGGTATTAATGGCCAAATTAAAAGTACACAAATATTTCAGTACAGTTTTCAACAGAAATTTGCGGTCAATGTTATCTGCAGACTGATAAGTTTTTGATGTTCAGTCGAGCTGTATTTTTTCAACATTAAAATGTGCTTCTTTGATGGGGTATTTTCGATTGCGAATCAGGAGAACAGAGCAAACCTTATTAAGTAGGGGTTTCGTATGATTAACACTTTGTAATTACCAGTAAAGATAATTGCAAGTTACACATGGCCTCAGGGTTATGAAAGGTTCCGACGAACATTAATTTTTGATATTAAAACACATTTTCATAGAGTTCCCCAAGTAATAATGTCAAAACTTACTCTCGCAGGAGATACAATTTACTGAAAAAACCCATCATGGACGGGCAAGGTTACGAGTCTGGTCAAAGAGAACAATTTTCTTCTGCTGCAAACTTAGATCACGAACAAACCATGGAGGCGATTGAAGCAGTCGCTAATAAACTGGCAACCATCGGGGACGAATTGAGTCAGTCATACCAAGAATTATCTTGCAGCGGAACAACTCTGGCAGGAGTCAAGCCATGCGCGAGGTTCGGAAGTTGGCTGAACATAGTGTTTTTCATACTGAAAGTTTCAGTCTGAAAGTTAAGAAATCAGAAAACGTGGTTTATGTGGCGCAGAAGTTTGGGAACTTCTGGAGTAAAGGCTGATAGTTTCGAAAGAAACTGTTTGGGGCTGCGTCGGTGGGAGTAACGAAATAATTTGGATATATCAACAAAGTTGAAATGGTAAATTGGCCACCGTAATGATTACAAAAGCTGACTTCTGGAGTACTTTGGTTCTCGTACTAAAAGCTTGGGTCTGAAAGCTGAAGTAGAATTAAAAAGCAGTTGAATTTGTGCGCTTAAGCAACGGAGTAGAGATCTACTCGAACGTGGGTCTGTGAAGAAGAACCAACAATCATCGTAAAAGAGAGAGATCAACGGACCAATGATTATGAACTCCGTGGATAAACCAAACCTAATCACGTCTTAAAGAGGACGGAAACTCATCCAATCGAAAAATGTTCATGAAAATATATTTATTTTAAGCTGTACCAGAAAGCAAAAGTACTGATGCGTTAAATACTAGTTGTTCAAAATCTTCACAGAATTTTTTTTTCTGCATGTGGCTAATTTGCATTTGTTTGTGAGTTCCTATCGTTAAAACAGTGCAAATTTATCGTTTTTCTTTCTTGAATTAAAAAAAATAAAAAATTATACGAATTAAGTGGAACCAATGTAACAAAATATACTTATAGTCTAAAGTATCGCTTAAAGATAAGATTTTCACTCTGCACTTGGTTGCAATACGATGTAGTGTGTCCTTCAGTGAAAAAA